TGCTTCTGCATCTGCTGACAGTAGCAGAAACCTGAGGAACACAGCACCTTCTAGAAAAAGCTGGCATCCACAGAATCAATACCTGATCTGAGGGGCTCTTGCTTGTTTGTTTCATGGTGGTTTTGTTTGTTGAGTTTGTTATTTTTTTCTAGTAAGCTTGTACTTGAGGGATTTTTTGTTTCCTTTCAGACATATACAATGTGCATTCTGGTATTACATATTTTTCCCCTAATAGGGCAGAACAACATGGTTGTGGGTCTGTCTTCAGGCATGTAAGTGGTTTGCATGCAGCAGTTGTTTCATGGAAGTGAGGTTGGTAACAGATGGATAGGTTTGTAATAGAACACCTTAGATGTGTTTAACAATGTGTTTGAGTGATAAATATGGATGTAACATATTCTCCTCCAATCTTAACTTTCCAGTTTTAAAGCAGTGTTTTGGTTTTGCATGAAAATCTGCAGCCTCTATTGTGCAAGTAAACTGCAGGGACTAGTGTATACTTAATCTATAAATTCATATTGTGGTGTTGAAGTATAAATTGCTGACCTGAGTGTAAAAGCTGGTCCATAGAAGTCTAACATTAACAGTTGAGGATGCACATAACTAGTGATAACAGGACTTGCTAGTGACAGGCAGGTACTTTGGAAGCCAATGCTGGGATGTGCAGGTAATTAAATAAATGTATCTAGAAAGCTTCTCTCAGCAGTGCGTGCTGAATAACTGATGTGACAGCACATGATGAGCTAGAATTCTAGAGCACTGCTGATCTGCAGTCAGAGCTGGTAGCAAACTGGGATGCTTATAATTTATTGGCAGAGACATTAACTCTTTCTTTCTGTGTCCGGATGTGACCTCTGAATATTCAGATATGCACTGAATAGGTTTAGCTATTGTGGCCCCTTCTGTTAATTTCTTTTTGGGCAATGTCACACTGGGTGCATGTGGTTGTACACACAAATGCTTCTCTGTGATTGTCTCCTTCATGGGACTTCTAAAAATACAGAAATAATACACAAACATGCAATTTTAAAAAAAAAAAAATTTGAGAAAGTATGCTTGCATAGAACTCAAGAAACAGAGATGTGAAGGACCAGCTGTCTTTGTAAATCTTCTGAAGCAGGGCACATTTATTTGCATTTTCAGTTCAGGGACAAAGTTGCTTGTCCTCTGGTGTCTGTTTGCACGGGTGGCTGGGCAGTCCTGCCCATGGTCTGCATGGCCCTTCTTGCAGAGCAGCTGCAGCGCTGAGCTGTTCCCTTCACATGGCACATGGATCTGGGTACCCCCATCCTGCAAACAGGCCATGTGGTTATAGAGGAGGTCCTCAAAGTGGCTGGAAACCCTGTTAGAAATTGCATTTATTCTGGAAATGCTTGAGGGAAGAAATACAAGTTTGTAAGGGGGTAGCATGAGAAGCTGGAGTGCTCTCTATAAGGATGTCATGGGAGGAATTGCTGACACCCTGACAGCCTAAAAAGCTGTTTGCTTGGTTGCTTAAGCTCATGGCTAGTACATACTGTCCTGTATTTGCATATAGCCCTGCTCCCAGGTTTGTCACGTCTTCATCCAGACTGTCTTCCACAACCCATGCCATGAAAATTGTTTTATTGCATATGGGTCAGAGATGTGTACTGCTTTTGACTGACACATGTAGCAGGAGGTATAAAAATAATCCCAGATGTGTTTTCTGGGGCTGGGAAACTGAAATGTCTCAAACAAGTGAGAAAATTAATCATAAATTCAGGATGATATCCCAACAGAGTGACCGAAAACATCTGGTGGATACAGTTTGTATCTCATCCAAGTGTGCAGAGTAAGTTAAAGCAGTAAAAAAACCCCAAAAAATAATAATTTCTTTTATTGAGGGATATGAGGAAAGGGAGGGGAGGCACCTAAGCCATTGTTCAAGAACCTGGCTTTTGAGAAGCATTATGATCAGGTAAGGAAGCTGAAGTACAAAGCATCTCTTACAGTGCTGTGGTGTTATGCAAGTGTTAAGTAGGTCTGTGCCTCTCGGATAAATACATGGGTACGCACAGATGCCCCCCAGAGAGAGAGATCTTTCTGAAAATTGCTCTGTCAAATGTCCAGTAGTTTGAACCTGGGGCAAAATGGATCTAAGGCAGAGGAAGAATTTATGTTCATCTGTGGAGGAAGGGCTTGGGTTGGATACACCAGTGAGAGGACAGAGAACACCAGCATCCCACAGGGAGTTTGTACAGAGTAGCCCAAGGCAACAAAGGTGACAGGGATGGGACATTTTGACTTGAAAAGACAGCTGATCAGTCAAGTAAAGAAACTGAACAGTGCTGGAGAGCTCATGTGAAAGCCCCAGACTCAGAGGTCTGAGCCTAGCCAGGTCCAAGCCACAGGCCATGACCACAGATGTGTGTGGGCTCCTGGAAGTCCAGCACAAGGCCTGGTCTAGTCTGCAGGTCAGTGGACCTTGCAGTACAAATATTTAAGTGCACATTAGCTGCTTGGCTTTGCAATTATAGTTTTATTATTTTCAGGATGTTCTGTTTTGCAGGGTCATGAATATTTTCTTTGAGTCACCAGAGGTCATTGGAGTTACTCAGCCCTCAAGCTAGCTCCCCCCTGTGCTGCCAAAGACATGTGTGGGACTTGTAAAACACGCTCTGGCTTGCCATATTGCTTAATTATCCTCTTAGCTCTAATGAGATGCACCCTGACTAATGGTGTAGTCACAAACAACATGTTGCTATAATTTGGGTCATCACTAAGATCTTTTTTATCACTACTCATCAAGGTAGTGCTTCAGAAGGCTGAAGGGCAATGTGCCTAATAAAAGAAAACATTTTGGCACATTAGAACATCGCTGGAGGAGAGCAGTGCTCTGACTAGAGCTATGTGTGCAACATGCCTTGAAGTTCTGTGGTGCAGGTGTTTGGCAGGAAGAGTTGGGTGACCCCTGGGAGGCCAAATTCTTCTGTGTTGCACTGCTGCAATCCCAGATGACCCAGAGTATTTGCAGAGAAGCAGCATCGATTGCTGAAGCAACCAACAATTTTTGTTTTCATTTTCTCCTGTCAAGCACTGTTAAAGTAAACTGAGCTGTATAATGGAAAGTTCTCTGTCTCTGGTTTTAAAATGGGAAGAATGGCCTCACAAAATGTGATCTCTTTTCTGAGTATCTTTTTTCTTTTTCTTTTTTTAAAATTAAAATTGTCAAAACTTGAAGGTGCAAAGACACTGTGTTTTAATGAGCATGGGCTAGAGCCATGCTCTAGAGGGATTACAGATCATAATCCTACTGTGCAGTTGCTTTGCTGATGTCAATGGCTGCTGGTAGTCAGCAGGCAAAATTCCTTGCTCTCCTGTGATGGCTTACAATGTAAGCTCTGTCATTCAGTGTCATTCCCTCTCAGGATATGACTGAATGATCCTTTTCAGCAAGGACTTATCCCAGCTCTCACAAAAACACTTCTGAGGCACAAGGTTTTGGCCTCCACCCTGCATTGGACTGCAGTATATGGGAGATATTTCCCAAGTGGCTTCCAAGGAAACACCTGTGCTCTTCCCTTCTCTCATCAGATCTTTGCCTGTGCTCATGAAGTTTTTATTTCAAGTCAAATTGAATGGACTGCTCAGCCAATGGAGAGATGGGGTGGGAGGTTTTTTGGGGGTTTTTTTTGGTTGGTTGGTTCGTTGGTTTTTTGATTTTTTTAGGTTTTGTATGAGCTAGAACTATCCCTTCCACTAATGTTGTATATAAATGCATTTCCTGGCTGGTTGCATTTCTTGTAGATGTGAATGAGTGTCTTCATGGACCTGAGCTGGGAGTTGGAAAATTCATCTTCTCTTTTTAGTGGTTTCCCAACTTTCTCCTGAAAAAAAATGGATTTATCATGTGTCAAGAGGACAATTTCTATGGCAGCCTAGGTTTTAAAAAACATATTGGCTGCAGTGAGAAGTTCAAGAAGAGTTCAGATCCGGACCGAACTTTGAAGTTATTTCCTATGTTGGTAATGGACTGAGGAAAATAAAAATAAAGAAAATTTGGCTCTGTTAAGGGAGCTCTGGATCTTTATCTGTACTTTGTGAGCCTGACCTTTCCCTATGTAGCAGAGCTGTTTTTCTGGTACTCAGAATGATGTATTATGTATAGTATGGATATTTATATGTATTTTCACCTCCAGCTAACAATACCTGCTTGAATTTGTTAGGACTATTTTTAAAAAGTGCTGAAGGGAGGAAAATTGGGGAGGGTACTGAATAGTTGCATATGTTGCTAAATATTTTACATTTAAAAGTTCTCTCTAATGCAGCTTTTCTTGACTTTTCTTGTGGAGGAAGGGGCCTCTTCATTCTGAAGCAGTCAGAGGTCACTGGGGACCCCACATGCTCTCAGCCTCCAGTCAATAGTGCCCTCAGTCCTAATGTGTTTTACTCTACCTCAGGACCTGACCCCACTTGTCTGGCATCACAAATCACCATCAGTCTTTCTCCCTTCTTCCCATCTCTCTGGGTTTTACCTGTCAGCTCCCAGTTTTGATCCAGCTTGATTCACTGCAGGGTTATTTAGAAGGTGATAATCTTGGGGGTAAATTTAAGAAGACCAACAGATTTGTGCAGAACTGCTGGACTTCACTGTAGGGAATTTTTCTTTTTGGCAATGGAAGCTGGGGGTTTATACAGTGCTATCCTCTTTAAAAGAGGATAAAAGAATGTGATGACTTGGTGTGTGGGGCTTATGCCTTGGACCTTCCAGCTGAATGATGATCAGAAGTTATATTTACATGTAAATTAAAGTTTGTCCTCTGTGAACATTCCAGTTGCCACCGCCTCTGAACTTCTCATCTATTTATCATTTGTGTGCACTGTGAGCACAGTGGGAGTTAGATACATGTTTACTGTCACAATGCTGCTTTTAAATTGGGCTGTGTAAATTGGCTGGAGATGCTTGCTTTTGTTTTGGGAGTCTCTAGACATGGTGGTTGGTGGCATTCTTGTGTGACTTGTGCACTTTGGTTTTTCAGGCAACAGCATGGGGTTCAGATGAAGACACCAGGAGGTCCTGTCAAAGTAAAGGGAAAACAGAGGTAAGTTTTGCTTTGTTACAATGATGTTATGGGTAAATACATTTGCAACATGTGAAATCCACACAGAGGATGTCTGACACCAGTTCGAGCTTGCAAATTTGCAGCAGTTTAGCTGTATTGCCACATGGGTAAAAGCACCACCAAGCAAGCCACTTCAAAGGCCCCCTGTCCCAGTTATTACACTTGCTCTGCATGAAATTTAAAGGTGATTTCACTGCTGGAGAGGACACAATTTGTGACACATCAGGGAGTGGAGTGGTGGCAAGCCAGGGGTAGCATCCTGCGGAGGGGTGTGAAGCCAGGCAGGCTGGCTTAGCTCAGGTCCTCAGCAACGAGCCACTGGTGTTCAGCCACGTGGGATTCCAATGTTTGCTTGCAGTTGGAGTTCGTAGTTGTATAATTCCCTGGAAAGTGAGAATTGAATCTGCTCACACACTGCAATCTGTTCAGGTTGAATATCACAGAGCTGCTTGGGAGGCAGGTGCACTCTGTTAAACTGCATTTTAAAGTAGGAATTGCTTGAACTTGCACATGCTGTCCCAGAAGTTCAGACTTTGCAGGCATTTCTGATCCAGCCACAGGGCCTTTCCACCCTTCTTCTGAGAAGCAAAAATGAAGGCATCTATGTAAAAGCAGGAAATTGTTTTATTTTTCAAATGTGATACTCATGCACTTCAAAAATCTTCACTCCTCAGCTGAGAGGGTGTCCATTGTCTTTAATACAACTCTGCAAAGAGCTTTCAGTCCAAACCAGAGGAGCTGGGCAAAAGATAAGACAGAATAAGCACAATCTTTGCTTAGATACAGGCAATCAAGCAGAGACTGTATGGCTGGCCCAAAATGCTGGAATCTGCCACATTCCAGTTTGCTGCTTTAAACACAGGATTACCTGATCCATTGACAATTTTATTTTTATATAATAAAGTTAATGTGATTACTGTATAAACTTGTATGTACACACAAAAAAAAAAAAGCTTGAGTTTTGCCAGATGGGCAACAATTTGCTTCATATAGCTGTGGAGAACAGGAGAATGGGAATCCTAGAACATCTGTTAGAGTTTCAAGTAGAAACTACATTATGCAGGAAATCAACACAGAGGCAAAATGGGTTGGGATGGGCAAACATGGCCAGCAATGAGGATTAGGACAGAATTGAAAAACACCAAAATCCAAGACATGAAGAATTTTGAAATTTGTGGTATTTGCACTTTAGATGTGCAAAGAAAGGTTTTCCTCATTTCTTCTGTTGTAAAGTCTGTGAGATTTCAGTTGTGTCCTGCTGTTTATGAAGAATTTCTATTTATAACCTAGAAATATTTTGTCAACCCCTGGATAAAGCCATACATGTGACTGAACAATTCTAGGGTAATTTCAATCTCTCTTTGCTACTGTTATGCCAAAAGTAAGCAACAGTCTGAGTATCTTCACTGCTGCCTTCTCACACTGCAAAGGATTTGCAAAAAAATGTCATGAGCATAATGCTCTGAACTGCTGAGTTTATGTTGATTGTGACACAGAGTTTGAAATCATTTGGTGGATGCAGTGATCGTGAGTGAAGCTTGGAGGAATGGTAGTCAAGCAGGTTGTTAGGCACTCCTTGACATACAATTAATGGCAAACAAAGGTGTTGACTAAGACTCTGACAAGAAGACAGGAAACTACAGAGGCAGAAGGATTCTGCAGTAGCTAAGTAAACACTGATCTCCCAGGTCTGTATCTGCACTACCCTGTGTGTCCACAGCTGAGTCCCCTATACATTCATTGTTAGTTATACTGCAGAGAAATGACTCAGCACCAGCTGAAAAAGACCAAGTTCAGTCTAAGCAGCTGATGAAGTGCTCTACTCCAGCTAAGTCCAGATCTGACCCAGGATCTCTGCCCTTGGCTGGGTAAATGCAGCAGGTGAGGGCAGCACCATTGTGAACACTTCTGGTTCTGCTGTGCAATGATGGTACGAGGTGCAGAGCTCTATCTGCCTCAGCTCTGCTTTGTCAAAACTTGACTAATGGCAGGTTTCTACCCAGTACAGATGATTTGATGATAAATGTGTTATGGATTGTTAGACACTTAGATATGTGGTGATAGAGGCCAGAAATAAGGAGAACCTTTGGATTATACATTAATTCACATTGTGGTTTGTCTAAGTTATATGACTGGTACATTTTCCTTGCCCATTTAATAATGTATGTATTTTAGGTGAAGCTTTCAAAACTGGCTCATGTATTAAAATGCCTTTTTTATTGTGCCTGATAAGTATAAGATAATAAGATTCTTCATGCTGCTTAGAAATTCTCTTCCTAAAATGCACAGAGCTGTACCCTAAGAAAAATAAGAAGCATAAGAGCTACAAAATGCATATCACAGAAGTGTAATTATTATGATATAATAGTTACTTCCCATTTGAGCACCTATTGTCTAGAGAAGAGGCAGATGAAAAATCTGGGTCTCAGATAAAAGGTTAGAAGGTCCCTTTTTTCTGACACCTCTGGCCATGAATTTCACTTGCTTATTCCTAAACTGAGCTCAGTGCCCATGTCTGTCTGCTGTACCTTTTTGAAAAAGATGCAAAGTGTTGCATTGAGGGCCTGAAGCAAATGTGCTGGATTGTTCTAATGGCAGATTACCTTCCCTGGTAATGCATGCTTTTTTTTTTAATTTGGATCTGGTTTCATTTTGCCCTTCTCTGCTAGATTAAAGAGCCCTTTAGTTATCAGTATTTATTTTTTACAGAGGCACTTATATGCTCTTTTCAGTGCAGTACTTTGGCTTTTTGATAAAGTAAAAAGATAAGTTCTCCAAGTCTTTTTCTCTAAGTCATTTTTTTACTGCCCTTGAATGCTTTTTGTTTGTTCTCTGCACACTCCAATTTTTCACCTGTATTCCCTTGTCAATCTCTCTAATGCCTAAATGTGATTAAAACAGCCTTCCACCCTCCTCAGTTCATATACATGGCAGTTTTGTAAGCTCCTCTGCCACAGGAGATCATGCAGAATTGCCTGGCCACTGTGGCCACTAAGTCCTTTCACAGTTACTACTCTTGGGATGAAATCTCCATGTTTATACATAAAGCCCTTTTGTTCCTCTTTCTTTAATGCATAGTATCTTTATAAAATGGGGCGTTTGCCTCACTGATAGTTGCAGCTTTTGCCATCTTTAGGTTAAATGTTTGTTAAGAAAAATGTTGATACTGAGCTGGTACCACCCCAGCTGGGGCTCCACTAGGACAGCAAGTTTATGAGTGATTTCACTTTGAGGATTTTTTTTAATCACAGTAATTTATCAGATTTTAATCACTTAATGTATAAGTTCCTGAACGCGATTTTAAAATTAACTCTCTGCAATATATCATGCAGTACTAAAGCAAACACCTCAGAAAAGTCTCTTTCATTGATGTTATTTTTATCAACTAAAACTTGTGGTTTCCTCTAAGAAGTGTACATGCTTGGCTTGCCATGTCTCTGGAGAGCCATGCTGGCTTCCACAAGTAATCATTCTCTTTTTTTGCAGCATTTATAAAGTGTAGCATGATCAATCACTTTAAACTGTCCCCTGGAAAACATCCACATTACTGAGACAGTGCAGAGAACAAAGTCAGTGTTATGTTGCCTTTCTTTGTGTCTTCCAAATGAAATCATCCAGAGGTTGTAGTTAAAATGAGTGATGGATAGAGCAGAAGGGGAAGAGATGTATTTAATTTCATTAGGAGTTGCTCAGTTCCTAGTTTGTAATTGGTTTGTCTCTGCATAAACAGTCACCATCCACCACATCTAAGGAATTTTGCCTAACATGGAAAATTGTGGCTTTTTCAACATTAGAACTTTGGTCTTTCTTTTGTCTAAGCACCAAATTATTTGTTAATGTTCCAAAAGCAGCACACCATCATCTTAAACTGTGTAAAGAAACCATTTGTGAAAACAACAGTGAAAAATGGCAGCTCTTACATTCTGCCCTAAGAGCTTTGTGTAGCCATGATGCACTAATAACATTTCTGGAGCAAGAAAGAAGTGAGATTAATATCTGATAGGCATCCAGCTGGGTTGTCCCACTGCATTGCCTGTGGGACATCCAGCTTCTTCCTTTTTCTTGTGCTGTGGATGCACAAGGTTGCAGGGAAATCCTAGCCAAGGCTTCAGCCCAGTGGAATGGGATTGGTGCATAGAAATTGCTGAGCTAAAGGAGGATTGAGCTATTTCAGGGCTTCCAGTGGCTATGTGTCACATAGAGGATGCTTATCTGCTTATCTGGTGGAACTGGGAAACTCCACACCATTTAAGAATAATAGGCATCCAGGTAGGAGAGGCACCATAGAAATCCCAGGGGAAACAGAAATAGCTGGGAGGCCATCAACTATTTTTATCCCCTTTGTAACTGTTCCTAGAGACCTGAACCTACATTTCTATTACTTCTGCTGTCAGTGCAGAATCAGCCCCCAAATAAATTTGATTAGGAAATCTATTAAAGAACATTTGGCTAGAAAAATCATTAGAAATTCTCTTTGCTGTCTGTTCCATTCAGAGGAGAAGGGTAGTTTGGCTGGGGCTTTGGCTTAAACTGGGTAACAGACTTGCTTGTCCAAAGAAGTAAATACAGATATCTGAGAGTGTACCAATAGCAGGGCTCAAGAACCAAGTTGGGTCTTGATTATTTTTTAATAAATTGGGATAAACTGCAGCAGATAAATTAAATGTTTGCTGCACTCTAAAATGTCACTGAAGGGGTAACTTGGAGTTCTAATCAATCTGGCTGATTCTCTGAACTCCAGGTTGTGCTCCAGGAGTCTGTGTGTCTCTACTGAGCATGGCAGACTGTCTGCAACAGCTATTTTTCTCATACAGTGTATAACTGTAAAATATATCAGTATGTGATGAAATAGTGTTAACCAATAATTAAAAAGGAGATCTCTGACAACAGGGCTTGGGTAGTTAATTTAAACTTGAAAGCCATTAAAGTAATGCCTATAAATAGCTATGCTTACAAAGAAAAATGCATCTGTACAATGAGATCAGGGTTTATAACATTTTAGAACTCTAGTGTTAAGAGATGACAGAATAAACAACTAAGAAGCATCTACAGCTGATTTATTTGCAGCAACCTGAAACTTGTTGAGTTTTACCTCAAATGGAAGCTGCAGGAGGTCAGCCCCTCCATTTGCTGAACTGTCCACGTGAGTGAAGGCAGTAACAGGGCACCACTCTTTCTTCTCAGGTGTGAATTGTGCTCTCAAAGCAACCTGATGTCTCTGTGAGCTAGAAAGAGACCTGGTCCTGTCCACAGTCATGGACATACAGCATTCACAGACAGTGCATGAACAGTAATTCTAAATACTAGAAAAAGATTAAATAAATGAGAGTAGACCTAAACTGAGGAGGTAGCAGGAAGGGGCTTCAGGGCAGTTTGTTCTGAGATCCTGTGGCCTGTAGTGTTGAGCATTAGCAATCATGACCTCTTCCTTTCTAGGAAAACAAGGGTCATTAGGCTGGAGAAAAGTGATACCTTCTGAATTTATGGCCCTATCTCAATGAAGGGAGGAGTACCAGGTAATTTTGGGGAAGAAGCAAGAACTTCAAAGTATGTAATATGCAATTCATAAGAAAATCAGAAATATGCTTAATTCTTTGGCAGTGAGCCACAGGTTTTTATCAGCTCTGCCATATATTTAATAATAATCCTAACTAATATAACTAAGTTATTCTTATTAACCATATAAATATGCAGTCTTCCCCCTTTATTTAAAACCTTAATCTCTTGATCCCTGTAATATCTTCTGGTGATGAGATTTGCAGACTGATCGTACACAGATTTAACTGTCTGCTCCATAATGTGAGAGCAGGATCCAAATATTGTCTTGTCTGGACAGAGGTGGGTTCAAACTTGCCAAATTTTCTGCTTATATTACAGCCCATCTGATTTTTGCTTCCTGTGTGCCTAGAGTTTTCCAACCACATAGAAGAAACTGCATTAAATAGCTCCTATTTTCTGTAGGGGTTTGTGAGATCATTTTACTAACCAGTTGCCTCAGCTATGACTTGTTGCAGAGAGCACTTTATTGAATGACTTTTCAGAGCAAATCGAGGCTGGTTTAAAGAACACAGAGAGGAGGCTGTTCCTTGCTATTTATTTTGAGAATGGGGAAGCAGGAGGATGGAATTAAATCTCATAGACACTGTATTGAGAAAAATCCTGCAAGCTGGAACATTTAAGTGGTTTTGTTTCTTTGCTTTTGTTGGAGGCCTCATAGACTGATGTGACTGGCCATGGGCACAGCAATAAGAAACACGAGGTGAGCACTGTGTTCTGCTTTGGGCCAGGCAGGCTGGGGAGATGTGGTCTGGTAGTTGGACCTTTGTGTGTGTCACCTAACCCAGTGTGTCACCACAGCGAGGTTAGCACCTGCATTGTTTCCATTCCCCCAGCTGAGAGAGCAGGGCAGACAATGTGCATCTGTTTCAGAACATTACCTTAAGTGTCTAAATTGCTTTGAGACCAGTGCATGAAATGAGCATATTATCACTGCTCTTCCTCCAGGAGCACAGAGTGCTGCTACCATCATCAGTAAGGCAGGTCTAGGGAAAATGCCTGCTTGGTTAACTCAGAGAAACAACTACAGATGGCCCACATCTAGCAGCATTGTTTTTAAGCAGTAAAAATGGAGTAAAAGTGTGCAACAGATTAATCACTGCCAGAAGTCTGCAGCACATGATGTTTCACAGAAATTCTTTTTGTGTGCTATCTTCTCAGCTGGAAAGTTTTTCTAGAAATTGAAGTTTGTTAATCTGTAATTCAGCTCTGTGCAAGTAAAGGGAATTCTGCAAATTTATATTTTATATTTTTAGGATTTTATATTTTTGCTGGGCAGGGCTTTAGTTAGGAATACATTGTAGTATCTAGGCAAGAAAGGGTCCAGCAACATAACTGGTCTTAGCTGTTTTAGGTCAGAAGCTCTGCTCAGACCTTGCACAAAGCAGAGAATGGTGGCAGTGGAGGGGGGGCAGGTGGGTACTCTCTTGTGTGAAATTTGAGTACAGAACTGCATTCTAGGTTAGATGGCAAATCAATCATATTCTGAAAACAACACTCTGTTGGGAGATGACCTAATACTTTTTTTTAACAGCGTTTGTTCAAGATTTTTTAGTACTTTGCAGTCAAATATATAGTGGTCCTGAAATTATGTGGGATTGAATAACTGTACTCTACAGAAAGAGGAATTACTTAACCCAGTCATGAAATGCAGACATCTCTAGGGCAGGAAGGAACTGACAGGGCTCCCAGCACCATGCAGCAATGACAAGAGAGGGCAGAGAAGATGGCAAGCCCTTTGTCTTGTTAAAAGAAGCAATGAGACGACTATTCTCAACACGCAGCTGGTGGGACAAAGCTTCTCAAGGTCCTGTTTGATAGACTGATGCACAGTCACCATGACTGATCTGCTTCTGAAATAAAAAGAGTTGACTGAGCTATGAATCTAAGCTCTCATTTTTGGGTGACGGGCATTGGGTATCTAATTCCTGCTGCCCCTCAAGACTGGCAGCATGTGCTCTGTGGCACTCAGTAGCCTCTTTCCAGACTGAGCAAGTGCTCCTGGGCTGGCTCTGGAGTGGAGTCTGTGCCATTCAAAAGCAAGGATCATGTCCATGCAGTTGCCATCTGTGGCTAACACTGGTAGCTTTCCTGTTGGATCCTTTCTGTACAGCAAATGAAATAAGATAGTGTGTAATCCAGCTAAGCAAGCCCCTTCCTTTCCAGATGATAGGGAGTGTTTTTACACTGCTGAGTCTTGCAAATGAAGTCTTCAGGGAAATGATCAACAGCATGGAGTGCTGTGAGACGGGAGCTTGCTGAATGATTGCTGCTTACAGGAGGGAGAAGTGGTGTCTGCAGCTGTAGGCTCAACTTAGTGGCAAATGATGATCTATTGGTGAGAAGAAAGCAAAGCAGCCCGGGTAACCCAGCTGAGGTTGCTATTTTTTAACAAGTTTCCTTTTCTGTCTATGGTATAACATAATAGACTTTCTTCCCCTGGAGCCCAGTGTGTGCCAGTCATTGCTCATATCCTCTCCTCTGGGGGCATGGGGCAGGCAGGCTGGTGCACATGGCTCACTGGGGCTCTTTGGGTGATCCTTGGGGCAAGTGGCTCTGCAGCCTCTTGCACTGCCTCTGGGAATTGCATGCTAGCTTTTACCTCACTTTTCCTGTGTGTATTGTTAGGAAGTTCCTGCGTTATGTGGCCTCCTCCACCCCCACATCTTAACTCCAGGAGATGCTCAGTTAGCCTCATTTGCACTCCACAGGTCTCTGGCTGTAGGTAGAAAGAAAGACCATGGCTCTCTCTAACAACATGAAGGTGATTTTCTGAACAAAAAGGCAACTGCAGCCTTGTGCTGCCACCCCCACAGCAGGACCCCCACACCCTTGGGGACTGGCATGTGGAGGGAGTTGCCTATTGGTACCAGCAAGTGGTCAAGCAACTGAGACTGGGAACTTGCTATTTCTCACTGGCCTGGCCTGAAAGAGAAACTCCTTCTACCACGGAAAATCCTGAGCACACAATCCTCTGGGAGGCAGGAAGTAACAGCCTGTTCAAGCACAAGATTCTTTGACCAGCCTGGTCTATTAAAGAGAAGTTCCTGCTGTTTTCCTGCTGGCACTGGTTTGAATTATAGTGCAGACAGACCTGCTGTCCTTCAGTGGAGTTGGTGTCTGGGTAATGTTTTCAAAGCTGCAGCATTACTGGGAAAATAGGTCAGAAGTATCATCGTGGAAAGAGGGAAAATTTCTCCTCCAATCTGAGCAGAGCACAGAAAGAGGCACTTGTAGCTGTGACAAAATTGACCTGATGGCTAACATCCTACCCCAGGACTGTGCAGGGCTATGGTTAGAGAAATAACCAGCAAATTGGGCTTGCTCTCCTAGACTGCTGGCTCCCTACAGCTGTGCGCTGCTTGAGGCAACAAACCTCAGCCCAAGTTAGAGCTAAGGAAGGTGCATTCCTGCTGCAATACAGGTATTTTTAATGTAATAATATTTTCAAAAATCCTTTGTCTCTGTCTTGTGTTCTTATAGGAAGAGTGCCAGAACTATGTCCGAGTGCTGATTGTTTATGGCAAGAAGGTCTTTACTTGTGGTACCAACGCCTTTTCACCAGTGTGTTCCAGTCGACAGGTCTGTTCTGCCTCTTTTGCAGTGATGGAGAGGGTTGGATACATGCTCTGGGGAAGGACAGTCATTGGGCAGGTTATCATGGCTGCACAAAATATATTCTAAATGTAGCTGACTGAAATTATGTTGGTTTTCTTCTTTGGGCTGCTTTGGGGCAATGACTGTATCTGCAGTTGGGGAACAAAACATTCCTGTTATGGGTGAGTTTGTTCTGGAGAAAGTGCTGCTCATGTAAACCTTGGGTATGGCACTGAAAATGGGCAATATAGACAGGCTTAACTGTGAGTACCTTCTGAGCTAAACACTTTAAAGTTTCTTTAAAATAAAGGGCAAAACTCCCTTTGGGTTCACAGGAGGCAGGAGCAGGTCCAGAGAAATGTTTATTTGTATGTTTGTTTAAGGCCAATATGTATTCAGGAGGTGTCAATGGAAGATTAAAAACCTGCACTTGCACGAGGAGCACCTGATTACACCAAGTGGGTTTGGGCTCTGTTGACTGGGGAATAACCCTTTGTACAAAGCAATAGGATCAGTGAGATTCAGACACAACTTCTTACATTAGCAAATGTTGGTTGTAAAGATCAATTTTCAGTCATCACTAGGATTACATTCTCCTAGCTACCTGATTTTTAAAAATCAGGGATTTACTCATAGGTACTCATGGGCAAACCAAATTCTTTATACCATTAAGAAAGTCAGATGCTCTTTAAATTTTCTTCTCTCTCCTTTTAAATACAGGTAGGAAATCTCAGCAAAATCATTGACAGAATTAATGGAGTGGCTCGGTGCCCATATGACCCTCGGCATAACTCGACAGCTGTGATTACATCACGAGGAGAACTCTATGCTGCAACTGTGATTGATTTTTCTGGACGGGATCCTGCTATTTACCGCAGCCTTGGAAATGTTCCTCCACTTAGGACAGCACAATACAACTCCAAATGGCTCAATGGTAAAGTCATGTGGGTCACATCTGAGCAAGAGATGTATTAAAGTCAGCTTGACAGGCTTGTAAATCTTTCTCTCTCTTTTCATATTGAGATCCAGAGTTATGATGGGGAAGGGCTTCCGGAGCAATAATCAGTGCAGCTTAGAAGACATTTTAAAAGAGCCTGGAATTATTTCAGAAAAGTTGATTTAGAATATAGAAAGTGGGTCTTATAGACTATTTAACATATATATGGGTCTCTATCTTGTGAGATGACCAAATACATCATTTTAACAAGAAAACCACTCAAAGATTTGAAGATCAAAATCAACTTTAAGCATCATATTGTTGACCCAGTTCTGCAGAGTGATAGGCACTCTTTAATTCCCCTGACTCAGCTGAAGATGCCTGGTTTCAGTGCAAGATCACTCCAAAAATGAGAAATTTCACAGCACGTTATGTTCCATGTGAGTCCATGCTGATGTGGATTTATAGTTATTAAAAGCAGCTCTTACCCTAGTGTGATAATACCCTGCATCAAACAAGCTATAGAATTTCAACCATCAGTACCTGCTTTGAGTCCACACCTTCCAGCTGGGGCAAAGCACTTTAGTCTGAGCAGACTGTAGTGATGGAGACCCCAATATTCCCCTTATCTCCTTTTACTCAGGTAAACTGACCAGATACTTGAAATATTTCTATTAGATTTCAGGACCTTTCAATTCAAGATAAGAGCAGTGGGACTCTCTGGAGCTTAATAAGATTGAACTAGGCTTCTGCAGACATCCTAAAGTCAGTATGGAGACCTGGAGTGCAAGAAAAAGGATGTCATCAGGAAAGACTATGAATTAGGACCAACAAGCATCATAGCCCATATACACTCATTGGAAACACGTTCCTCTTGTCTGTGCATGAATGCAAGATTCAGAAGGAAGCCACATTGGAATTGGGGAGTTTAAGGAAGACAAACAGTAACTGGAGTTCTAGTATGTGACTGGAAAAACTAATGTGACTCTTGGATTTATAACATTGTGCAGCATTGGTGACATTGGAGTAATTTTCTCCTGTTCTGGCCACTTTTCAACAAGAAACAGAAAACCTGAAGGTGATTCAGAGAAGAGCCATTCAGTGATTTGAAACTTGGAAAGCCTGCCTCACAGTAAGAGCCTTAAGGAGCTCAATTTATTTATCTTTCTGAAAAGAGATAAAAGGTGTTTTGTTCATGATATGGAAGTACTTACATCAAGAGAAGATTTTGGAAAGGATAAAGTTCTCTAATCTAGCAGACAAGCCATGACAAGAACCTGTGATTGGAAGCTGAAACCAGATAATGTCAAATGGGAAAAGAAGTACAGGTTGCAGCTGGGTCAGTCTTTAGTGATTTGAACAAGTCACTGAGGAAAGTGATGGATGTAAAGCCAGGTGACATTGTCCACTAATATCAGATCTCCTTCGAAAGATGTGGTCTAATTCTCCTGTTAGTTACAGGATCTGATGGTGGAATTACAGGGTGAAATCCTCTGGCTTGTGTTAGACAGAAGGTCAGATTGGGGATCACAATGGTCCCTTTAAGGTTCATGGTTAGTTTGAAGGAGAAAGTTTGACAGGAGATGATTTGCAATGCCCTCCCCTCTGGACCATCATCTGCCTCCCAAACTTACCTTGCAGCAGCAGTGGGCTGCCTTTCTCTGTTCTCCTTTCAGTCCTGGGCTGCAGCTTTAAAGGAATCCTGTCCTTTCCTTTATTCTTCTTCCTTTGAGCACTACTCAGAAATGAATATTGTAAAAACACCCTATTAAACCAACAGGTTTGGGGAAGGTTTGTTTGTGTGGTCAAATATTATTCATTGGCCAAACTTTTCCTTTTACCAAAGAAACTTTCAGGATAAAAGACTTTACACTTTAAAGCTTTGTTATATCCCCAATTGAAATATTTATTACTAAACCTACTAAATTCAAAGTTCTTTTCAATTCTTGTGAAAATAATACTGAAAATTTTAGGAGAAAAAGCATTAGGGGGAGCACATTTCACTACTGTCAGTCTCTAGCATGGTTTTGTTTTATGGACATAAGATAATCTTTTGTGCCTAGAAACTGGAAAGGTTTGATGATAAAAGCCAGATGTGACAGTGCTGGGAGAGTAGCTTGAATGTTTCAGTGCAGCTGTCTGGGGAATCGGGCGGATGCACACAGCATATTTAACACATCATAAGGTCCACTTCAAAAGTGAATAGGTGAAGCAGCCCAGTGGGAAGGCTTTATCTTGTAAAATGAGTATAGGTACAGAGAATAGTCATGCATATGCAAAGTATTGAACTCTGCTTTCACTGAAATCAGTAGCAGCTTTGCCAATAAAGTGGAGAAACAATGGGGCCTTTCCAAGATCTGAAAAAAGGTACTAGAGCTATATCCTCATATATCATTATTCCCATCTACTGTTTTTATGTCCTCTGCTGACTCCAAACTCCCTGTGGTCACAGCTTTGACAGGCTGCATAAATGGAGCTGGCAGTGCAATGCATTGAGCAACTCAGTGAGCATGGATTGATTTCTAACCTATATAAATCTCTTCAAATGTTTGTTTTTCAGAGCCTAACTTTATTGCTGCCTATGACATCGGCTTGTTCACCTACTTCTTCTTCCGTGAGAACGCGGTGGAACATGACTGTGGGAAAACAGTGTACTCTCGGGTGGCAAGGGTGTGCAAAAATGACATCGGAGGGAGGTTTCTGCTGGAGGATACATGGACAACTTTCATGAAGGCCAGGCTGAACTGCTCGCGTGCTGGAGAAATCCCTTTCTATTACAATGAATTGCAAAGCACCTTCTACCTTCCTGAGCAAGATCTGATCTATGGTGTCTTCACTACTAATGTGTAAGTTGCACTGGCTTTACTGCCCTTCCTCTATCCCCAGCAGTCTGAGTCTGACAATGTATTGATTTTTCAGGCAGTCTGAGCAATCATTTTTGAAAGATCGTTTGGTAAACGTGAAAGAATAGATAGATCTGTGTTATCCATCATGACAACACAGCCTTAGGACAGTGTTTTTAATCCATGGTTCACAGATTCCCAGAGTCCATAAAAGGTGACTGTGCAGTTTTAGGGTAACTTAATTTGATACAAAACTGGTCATTGACGGACTTCAGACTTTTTGTAGGGACAGTCCAACTTGTGTAGTTTAGAGAGATGATCTAAAAATGACCCAACAGAAACACATTAATTTCCAGCCAGGCTAATTGCCTGGACAATCTGACATATTTGTGTGAACACTGGAGCCGGCCCGTGAGATGGACAGGTGCACACACTTGGGAGAGAAGGGCTGGAAGGAGAAGAATGAGGCACATGGGATCACAACAGCCTAGACTGAAAACATCTCTTGCAGTTGAACAACACTGTAACAGCAAGGTCATGAGGGCCACAAGGCATTTAGCATTTCCAAGGCAGGATAGGGGGGGCTTTACCGCTGCCAGACTGTTTGAGGTCCACAAATCAAAAGCAGCCATGGAACTCTGAGAGGAAGGTATGATTTCTGATACTTCATAATCACCTCTTCTTGGCTTGATATTGAAAAAACTTGTAATTGAAATGATTTAGTGTAGCTGTGAAAGCAGAAAGGAGAAGAGAAGTTAATTAAAAAATATATTAAAAAACTCATAATGTATATTTTTAAGTCAGGAAAACTCAAATAACTTTTTCTCTGATGCCTAAGGCTAGGATGATAAGTTTCAAGCTATAACCAGTCTGCATGGTATTGAGTTTCAATAATAGGTGTTCTCCAGGGGGGTGTTAGCCTGACGTGTAAACTAGAGAATGAAAATCTGAGTAGCTACTCCATATGGCAAATGCTCAAAGTGCCTTCCTTGTGCTGGGCAGCCAACTTGCTTGGGGTTTTTGTGTGCAGTGCTGTCCAATATGAATAAGGGCCCATTCCCAGGGAACCCACAGAAAACCAAAGCAGTGAAGCCCTGCTGAAGTACAAACCCTCCTCTTTTAATGTGTCACATGCTGATGTGACAGGGCTTGAACTTCAGTCCTTGAAGTCACAAAGCATCAGCCCCAACTTCTTGAGCTAAAGCGCTGTTGGGAGCCTCACTGTGAGTCAACAGAGCCTGCCCCTCTGTAAATTCCAAGAAATAGGTAAGTGTTTGGCCACCCTCATCCGTCTTCCATGTTCTGTTTCTGTTCCACCATTGCCAGTGTCAGTCAAAAGTGGGCCAGCAGAGAAGCAACTAGAAAAAATAAACATGACTGAGCACTGCACCTTGACTGTAGGCTAGGGGAAGATCTGTCCTCAGACTGAAAGGCAGATGAGTCATTCTTTAAAAACATTTAGAGAATATTTGCCAAACTTCCTGAACATTAAAAAGGAAATCTGGCTACTTCTTTGGGCACTTGAGCTGACCCTCCCCCCCCCCCCCCCCTTTTTTTTTTTCAGTTGGAGAGGACTTCTGTGCTCATAGTGATAATTTTTTATCTATCCATTTGTCCATTCATCCAGCCAAGAATGGAAGTTGGAAATGAGAAAACTATTAATAACTGTATTTTATTTATCAAATTGTTGATGTTTTTGGACAATCATGGGGCGACATAGACTAGCTTTGGCTGGGACAGTTCTCTTCTGCTGTGTCCATCTCCCAAGTTTAACATGAGGTGTGATGAGTGTTACCTGTCTCCTCAGGGTACACTTGAGCATTCTTTGTACATCAGGGATAGAGGATCTCTCTTTTATCTTCTGAATATAATATGCAACATTTGTGTAATTGAAGAAATTAGTAATTGATAACAGCTGAAGTTAGATCAAATAGCATTTTGGGTCTACAACATAGTGTTCTTTTAAAAGTTCAAAGAGAAAATGTTCCAATTTGTCATCCAGCTAGAGAAATAATGGTAATTATTCTTTTAACTTTCACTGGGACTTATATCATGCTACATGAGCTCTGCATACAAAAGAGGGTTAATTTATGCACCAGTCTGAGTTTCTTTGTGATAAAATGCCAATGCAACACAAAACTATTATTTTTTTTGTTGTTGTTGTTGTTTACAGGTATTTTTTACTTTGGAAGGTTCATGTTTAATGAATTTAGGGTCATCTTATAACAAAGGTGAATTAGTGGTTGTGGCAACGCCCACATATAGATTTATTGCTTCATGTTATACCCAGCTGAATCAGTGGGAAAGAGAGCTTTGGGGAAAGCTGCTGCTGAAATATTTAAGATGTTTTTTATTAAAATTTTCTGGGAGGTAATAGAGACAATGTTAAAACCTCTTTGAACTTAACCCATTCTTTAAACCAGCTAGTTAGTCACAGGAGGTAGGAGGTGGGAATAAAGGAAGTTGCACTTCACACCAAAACACAGGGGCCAGCTGCACCAGTTGATGTCACTGGCTTGAGACTGGGCTCAAACTTTTCATAACGAGGGATGGGAAATATGCCAGGCCACAGATGGAAAAGAAAATGGTCCACAGATTTAATGGGAAACCTCTTTCCTTTCTCCTTTCCAGCAAAGAGAAAAGGCTAAACGATAAAGTCCTTAGCAGGGCCCTAAAAATATTCTTTTTCTTTCCTTTCTTTTAAGTATTTTCATTAGACTAGTGGAATTTTATTCTTTCTTTTCCTTTTTCATTTTCTCCCTCATTGTCTTTTTTTTCCTGTGTGCGCCTCAAGGCATTTACTTGTCATCCATCATTAGGTTTGTCTTAAAAGCTGCTGTCTGTGAGCATGCACTGCATCAGCAGTGTTCAGACAAAAGTGGAGAAAGGTTTGGCTGGCATTGCTTTGACATGTTCAAAGTGAGCTACTCCATCATTCTGGGGATGCAAGGGGTAGGGGGGAGCAGAGAATGGGAAGGCAAAGCAGGAAGTTCTTCCTGATGTTGTATTGCTAGGAAGAAATATGCTGTGAAAGAATCTGTTCTTCTGCTTTCCAGCCTGGAATGGTGAAGAAAGGCTTTTTTTTGTGTGTGCAAGAGAGTGTAAATATTGGTTTAGTTAAAAAAAAAAAAAAAAAAAACAACCAAAAAAAACCCACAAAAAAGGGCTCTTTTCAGAGAATTCAAATTGCCTTAATTAGCAAAAAGATTCATACAGCAGGGCTTGGGTTATTTAAAAGGCACTGTGATGAATCAGTCTCTCATGCTGGCCCTATTTTTAGTTTTATTTTGATAGTTTTTCTTTAAACCTTGTAGTTTTCCTTAAAAAAAAAAAAAAGGAGGGGGAGGAGGGAAGAACTGGAGCAGGTTTGAATTTCAGGTCATCACTTATCAAATGTCCCTCTGAGTCAGTTTTGTTGAGATCACCATCTAGGAAGTGCCCTCCAACCCTCTTGTGGCAGGAGGAGATGAGCTGGCTCAGGACCCTGCAGAAATGAGTCCTCCTGGACTGAAGTGGAACAGCAAAGGCCAACTGATCTGTGTGCAGTGTGACTGGGCAGCCCAGAATCCCTAAAATACACTCCTTTCCAAAGAGTCCTTCCCACAGCAGCATTTCCCTCCCGTGCTGTGCCTCCCTGGCTGAGTGTGCTTGAACAGTCAGATCCTGTTCCCAGCTGGGAACACACAGGAGAGAACTGTGCTCATTGAAAACAGAGGTTTTCAAGAATTAGCAAGACCTTTCTCCATGCTGAGCTGCTGTCATAACCAGCTGGTTTGTCACTGTCACCTTTTCCCTTCCACTGCATATATATACATATAATACTAGGTGATATATTTTATAGCTGAAGATTTCAGGAACCTGTAGAAACAGAATTTCACCTTGAGAAACAAGAGATTAAAAATATGCTTGTTTGTAATCAGTAAAGGTAGATGGGTTGTTAAAAAAAAATAGAAGTAAAACCAGACAAAAATAATCCATGCAAATTAAACTGTATTCACCTTTCTTGCCAGAACTGCTTCCATGGTCCTTAATATCTGACATTTTAAAACCAAACTTGAAATTCATTCTCAAAATTGTCATGCAAGTCATCTACATTTTACAGTTTATTTATTTATTTTTACTCCCTGTGAGATTGGCATCGCTGTACATCTACCTAGCAATTTACATGTATTTTATTTGAGTAGAGTTTGATGTCTGTTATGATGAAAATGTCAATGTTCTAATGATTAAATTGATTTTTTTTCCCCCTCCCCTTTTCCAGAAACAGCATAGCTGCCTCAGCAGTGTGTGCCTTCAATCTGAGTGCCATTACTCAGGCATTTAATGGCCCCTTCCGCTACCAAGAAAACCCAAGATCAGCCTGGCTGCCAACGTTAAACCCCATCCCAAATTTCCAGGTACTGCTGTTGCCCTGCAGTTTGCTGCAGTCCCTTTGATGTTCTGTCACTTCAGTGGGTTGATGATTTTTTTTTTTTTTTTGCCTGACTCATTTTTCCAGGTAGACCCACAGTACAGATAAATTATATTTCTCCATATTTATGAGTGTTTTAATCTGTGGAACTCCTTGCCACAGAATTCATGGCAAAAATTGAATGGCTTAAGGAATAATAAGAATGTTCTGGGGTTTTTATAATAATGAATGATTTAAATCTGTGTTGCACTTGTCACTGACACGTATGCTCTGAGGATGTGATTCTCACAAGAGGACATAAGGCATGTCCCTACTAGAACTGGGAAGGACTGAAAGCTGAAGCTGGACAAAGTCAAACTAGAATGGAGACAATCTATATTTTTTAAACAAGAAAGGTAATTAACCACTGTGACTCTGCAAGGAAGTGATGAATTTTCCATCACTTGATAGGGCCCCTAAGGCTACCAGTGCTTCAGTGGAAGATGAATGACTTTCTAACACATGGTAGCTCAGCCAGAAGCTATGGACATGTTGCCACAGTAACTGGTGGAAGGGGACACATGAGAATTGTCACAGGGGTTCCTTCTCTTTTTAAAAACCTTTGAGTTTATGAATGAGCAACTTTCCAGGATTATCGGTTATAGCAATTTTGAGAATTATAAACCAGCTTCAGTTGCTTTTTCAGCAGATCCAGTCAGTGTGAGGCAGAGTATGACAGCCCTGACAACCCTGAGTCTTCTGGAGCATGAGCCCATTCTACAGCTCAGCTCCTTCCCAGCAGGGGAATCCTGGGGAGGATGGACTTGTCTTCATGTCCTTGCTTCCCCATGGCAAATCCTTTCAGCCCGATTTTCTGAATCTGGCTCTCCTTTATTATGGCAAATGTGCTGAGGCTGCCTGCAAGTGCCATCTGCCTTCAAACTGGTGTGTCAAGGACCTTCCAAAAAGAACTCTACAGTCGCCTGAAATCACAGCAAGAGCAGATGGGAGACAGGTCTCTGCTGCAGGCAGGGACAGCCTTGTCGTCCTGCTGAGAAACCTGATTTCTTCTCCTAAATTCCCTCTTGGCACCTGACTGAAGGCTCCTGCCCATACGAGGTGGGACAGGCCTGGCCTCTTGATCACCCTCTCAGCTTGGTGCACTCAAAACCAAGAAACAAAGCCCTGCTGAAGGTCCAGCCATGCCAAACATAGCCATTGATTTGTTGGTGTTCTTGGTTTTGGCTTGTTTTTTTTTTTGTTTTTTTTTTTTTTTTTTTTTATTATTTAAAAGGAATATTAAGGCAAGGTGAGAATCGAGAACTTTCTGTCCCTTGAGAGAAGTATCAGATAAAATGTGGAGTGTAAAGATTGCAGCGGCAAGATGAAAGAAAAGAGTCAAAGGAAAATAAGGAAAGGAAAAAGAGGTATGTGGTAGACAAAAGGAAGATTGCAAGAAGAGATTAAGATGTTTTTCAAGTACAGAAGGAACAAGAGGTCAGTGAGGAGCCTTAAGGAGATGACAAGGGTAATTTAGTGACAGAAGAGGCAGATATTGCAAAAACATTAAATTAATTTTTGTGCCTCAGTGTTCACAAAGAAAGATGAGGGAAGCATGCCAGAATTTTTTTTCTTGCAGAGAGGAAGGAGAAATACTGAAGGATGCAGAGGACCAGGACAGTACAGATAATCAGGAAATTAGAACAAAACAACATTAAACCAAACCAGAAGGATGCTGTGTCAGCACATGAGCTGCCAATAGACCAAAAGAATTATCTGTGACTTGCTGAGAACAGAAAACAAAACCAACAATGACATTCCTCCACTGGGACTCCTTTTAGGTGATGCTCTAAAAGGGAAAATGAATGGGGAGAAAAGTGTCCAAAGAAAGACAGTGGTGTGAACCAGAAGGAGCATAGGATACAACAAAAGAGAGAGATCTAAGAACTCTTTAGAATGTGAGATGAGTCATGAACTAAAAAAATACCATTGCAATAGAAAAAAGCATTAAAACCCACCTGAGGGCACATAAAAAACCCACTGATGTTTCCTTAGTCCAGCTATTGAGGAAGATGTTCAAATTGATTAGAAAGAGACCGTGTTAATAGGTTATGAGAATTAACATAACTGTTCTCCTAGTTTACACAACATCTATATTATTGTCAAGCTTAGTACACCAGCCGTTGGAATCCATATTTACTGTGTGAATGTGTGTTAAATCCTTGACAACTCATTTAGCACGTAGTAGGAGAAGGGCTGTGTGGTGCACCCAGGAATGGCAGCGATACCACCAAGAGTTGCTGTGATGTGTATGAAGAGTGTGCACATGGGAAATTTGTACACTGCAGCTCAACTGCTGTAAATCAGCATCATCATTCTCAGTATTCTGTCTTTTCTTCAAGGAAAGCCTGAACACGTGGATCCAAAATGAAGAAAAAGAAATGTGTGGGATTTTATTTCTAGTGAAATTGCTCAGGTGTGAGTTTCATTTAGTGACTAGTGAAGTTGTTCATAGACTGAGTATAGGACTTGGCAGGATTCAGTTGTACCACTGTCTTCCACGGTCTTGGGTACATAAATAACCAGTCACCCTGCTGCCTTTTGGAGTGATACATTTTCTGCCCTCCATGCATGATGTTGTGGGGAGGAGTGACATCCAGCCCCAGCAACTGACCTGGACCAAAAAAACTAGCACTGGCTTTTGAAAATACTAAGTTCTAGAAATTAATCTAAGATGGAAACTCGGGCCTTAAAATGCATTATCCACCTGGTAGGATTTACGCTGTTTAAAAGACACAAGATGAGCTCTTTTTCTCCCCGGTTCTTGCTGTACAAGGGACTTGAGTCCTGTTTCAGTGCCTCCCTGGGTGCTGGAGGATGGGTAGTCATGGCTTGGTCTGCCATTTGCTGTCAGGCGAGAAGGGTATGGGGGGGGAGCTTGTCGTTAATCTGCCTTGCTTCAGATGGCAGAAGGGGAAGCTCATCCCTTGTCCAGAGGGGAGCACATCAAAGAAAAGCAATGTGGCAAGTTTGGTTCTTTGATGGAAAACCAGTCCATTTTTAGGTTTTTTAAACTCCAGGTTTTGTTAGACTGAGATGCTAGGTAGTGTCCGAAGATTGTCTGAAATGTTTCAAGGATTTATCACCACAAAAACTTTCTCTCCACTACCTCTAAATATTTCTACAGTTTGTTTTATTTCTTTCTTTTTCTCCATGGTTTGTTGAAGGCTTTTGCCCTTCTGCTGTACTGGTTGAGGGTATCACAAAGGAATGAAACTCCACATTGCTGGTTATTGGACCCCCCAGGAGAAAAGTTTCCACAGAGTGGGCTACAGGCCAAATCCAGGCTAAAGACCTATGATCAGGCTACATGCCTGATCCTGTGACGTTCATACAGACCCACCTCCCCAGGAAATCAACAGAACATGAGTTTCCATGCTGGGCTGGGTAGAAGATACACTTTCTGAAATTAATCTTCTGTATTTAGTGTGGGACACTGAATGATGACAGCCCTAATGAGAACCTGACAGAGAGAGTCCTGCAGGATGCACAGCGCCTCTTCCTGATGAATGACGTGGTGCAGCCAGTGACTGTGGATCCCTATGTGACTCAGGACAGCATTCGATTTTCCAAACTGGTGGTTGACATTGTTCAGGGGAAGGATACTCTTTACCATGTCATGTATATTGGAACAGGTAAGAGTGTGAGGGCTTCAAACAATTCCTCCTGCTTGCTTGTAGACCTAGCAGCCCTGGGAGCCCAGTTGTGAAGTCCTTACACAGTTGTCATTCAATATGATTTTGGTACAAAACCACATGGAAGTTGTTTGCCTGAGTAAATTAAAAGCAGGATGGAGGACTTGAGGCAGAGTCCCAAGTGATCAGACTATAAATCTCCATTGTGCTTAAAAAGAACAATAACATTTTTCTCCCTCTTATAAAAACATTTTTCAACTAATCAGGCTAATAAATAACAGTGGGGACGAGCAGAGGTGGCTGGAATGCTCATGTGGTTTCATGCATGTCAGTTCCCTCTCAGTGCTGTGACAGACCTGTCTCTGAATAAGCAGTAATAATGCATAACCTGCAGGCTTGCCCAGGGATTTAATTGTGTCTTTCTTTGCACTTTCATGGTCCTACTGGTGTATGGCTCCCAGTGCTTTTGGGAATGGGCATGCACTGAAGGTTAAGGCAGATAGGGAAGCTGAGTGCTTGTTTTGTGGGAGTATAGCAAGCCAGTTTGACTTCCAACCAGTAATTAGCAGAACATGTTGCCTCTTCTGAAAAGCACAGGTATATTGGATAAGTGAAAATGCTGAAGAAGGACAAAGTGTTACAAATGGTTGTCTTAGCCCATAGTAATACTAATGATAGAGGTTAAATTAAACAGTTTGATTAATCAGAGCATATGGCCAGCCTCATGGGTATAATGTTGTTATCCTCTATAGCAGAAGCTTTGACTTTAGAATAAGATGGATTGCTTCCATAAGTGTTCGTTTAATCTCACATCTGAATGCAGAGTCATTGCCTTATTCTCATGTTTAGGAGAAGGGACCTTCAGGACTCTGTCCTAATTTATCTAACTTTTACCACCACTTATTTCAAAAGTGATCATCTTGGTTTATTATTTATATGTTGTAGCAACACTCCCAGTATGGGAACTCCATGAACATTGATTATGATGAGAAGATTTTACTTAAATGGAAATACAACATGGTTCTGCCAATATGATATCTTGATATTTAAAGTGAGGAGTCCAAGCTACAAAGCCTTACAGAAAGTTGGAATACTTCCTTCCTTGTATCATTAGTGTGGAAAGATCCAATGCCATAACCTTAACTACTTACTCATGTTTGCCCTGGTTAGTGGTGGCTGAAGAGTAAGATCTGCTGAAAATGTTTAAACCTGTGAAATTCTTCAGTAGAGGCAGCCCTGAGCACAAACTCAGTCCTGAGACTGAGCCCAAACTTCCGTCTTGTTCCACATGTGGGAAACTTCACATGGTGGCCAACCCCAACATTATAAATTGCTGAGCTCTGGCACCAGTGCAGAAGTTACTGGAACAGAAAGATTAAGTTTCATGAACCATCCAGCTGACAGACCTCTTGGGGGTTTCAATGAAAAGTGGTGTGCATTAATCTCCCACAGCTTAGCAGATCTTTAAATTGTTTAGGTAAGAGCTCTCTGAGCACAAACATGTATGTTTCTGTGTATGTACTCCTCCTGCCATAACAATCCCTTGTCAAGCTGGCTTCTTCCAGGAAGAGAATCAATTAGGTCTGTGACCCATGCAGTCATTATGGAGGCCTCAGAGATTTCCAGCAGGGCTGCTGCATCTCTTGTCATTTGTCATGACACGAAATCACACTGATCTGCTCCATAAACCAATAGAAATACAGACTCAAGGCACCAGAAATGATTCTTGCCATCCTGGGTCACCTTGCTCTGTAACTCTCTGGTAATGGACCAGACTCCTCTGCCTCAGTGCTCCTACTGGGAAAAACTGCCAGGTACTCACTGTCCAGATGGTTCTCATCTTTCTGAATTCCCATTTAAGTACATTCTCAGGTGGTCTCTGCTGAGGATTGTAATGATGTAGCTGGAGCTCTCTACCATGGGCAGCAGGTGACCCAGAACTAGGTTAAACCAGCTCTGTAAAGATGACATTAGTATTTCCCTCTTTAGGCAGGTATGAAATGAAGTCGCTGCCTCCAAGATTTACTTGTGCCTTGTTTCTTGTTCTATTAGAGTATGGCACCATCTTGAAGGCCCTTTCTACCACTAACAGGAGTCTGAGGAGTTGTTATTTAGAGGAAATGCAGATCCTCCCTGATGGACAACAAGAAGCAATCAAGAGTCTCCAAATCCTACACAGTGACAGGTCACTCTTTGTGGGTCTAAATAATGGAGTGCTAAAGATTCCTTTGGAGAGATGCTCCATGTACAGAACAGAAGGGTAAGTAAATTTACAGCTCTAATATATCCCTGCTGGAGTGCTTCTCTTGACAGATACATGCATAACCGGAGCAATGAGGATAAGCAATTTATTTTTTTTTTTTAAATGTTAATTAGTCCTCTTCAGAAATTAATCATATGTTTACCAAGTAAGGGTTTACAATATTTACTTCTGGTTTTGTTTTTTGTTTTTTGGGGGTTTTTTAAACATCATATTATAGTGTTGCTTTTATTAAGTCCATGTGTTTTCCTGGTGGTTCTTATTGGCAGTATGGCTGAGGGTTTTTGAATTTGGGTTGCAGCCAGCCTTTCCTTGCTTATCGGAGTGATCACCTCTCAAACACAGGATTAGGCAGGGCTGGGCTGTGTGGCTACTTGTTATTGCTTCTGGAAATCAATAGTTCATCTCAACTATGTGTGATACCTCTTACACCTGGACAGATTCTGTGCCTTGATTGTACCTTATAAAGGGAGTAGGAAAAATGACTTTTTCTAATTGTCTGCCTTGGCTCCAGAGCAGTCTTCCACACAGGACTGTAGAATGCAAATAGTGCCTCTCCATTTAAGCAGGTGAAAATGTGATAGCAGCTGTTTGAAACAGATGCTCAAATAATCTCACTGGGTGCTGTGGGCATTTACTTGTTTACATCTCTTGAAAATACTTTTCCTTCTCCTCTCATGCTTCAGCCTTGCTTCTCTCTGTGAGAGTTTTGTGTGAAACTGATGTCCTCTGTGCTAGACAGGAGGAAGGATTTTGTTAGCAACATTTAAACAGATTCCCTCTTCCATGGCCTACTGCAAGATGTCCCTGTTCTCCTGCCAAAAAAACTGATATAGAAAATGTCACCATAACTTTATTTTCAACAAGTAGAGTTTATCTATCAGCTTGTCTAAATCCACGTGTCTAAAACAGACGGACAAAAAAGTGTTTAGTAAGAGAAAACCACAACTGGAAAAAGCCATCCTGTCCTCAGCCCTTAAAAGCAGAGATTTTGAAAGGTAGAACATAATAGCTGTCCTTTTCAGGCTGTCCTGTAGTCTCAGTCGGAGAATATTTATGTGTGTATACATATATACGATCCAGTTTCAAGAGAAATGGTTCTTCCTTTCCTTTCCTAATCTTGAGTTCAGCTTTCCAGTAATTTATAGATGCTGTCCTATTTTCAGCCTGCCCAAGTACTTTGTATGACACTTCCATTAAAATTCAAATGTTGGAGGTTTGCTGAATTGCCTTGAAATGGGGCAAGCAAGAGAAAAGAAGTGACTGGAGAGCAGACAGGTGGGCTATCTCAAGGACCACCATATTTAGGTCCTGGAGGCTGCAGAGCAGCTTTGTATAAGCTTATCCCAGCAAAACAAAAACCTGTCCTCACTGAGCTCCCTTGCCTGCTGGTGACCAAAAGCAGTCTCAGTTTTATGCACTGTATGACACTGAGTCCTGGCTGAAATTACTGGGAAGTTTGTGTACCAGTGCTGTTTTTGGTTGGTTTTTTTTTTTTGTTTTTTCCTAAAACAAACTTCCTGGAGGCAATTTTGAGAGAAATGAGAAAACAGACCAGTTCTTCAGGGTTGGGAGACTCAAATTTTGCCTCCAGTGACTAGTTTCATGATAGAAATCAGCCAAACTCAGCCACTGGGCAATAGCAAGGTACATGAGATAGGGTCTCGTGATGGCATGGTGAGGTGTGATGTGGGAGGCCAGAATTTGCTGAATTTGGTGCTGACCATTTAGTGTTCCTATGTACGTTGCAAACCATCCTTTGCTTTGTTGGTGAGTCTTGTGGAAGGATTGTGCATTTGGAAAAAGGAAGAAAAAAATAAGCAAATGTAGGAAAGCCAAGAAATTCCATTATTTATTTATTTGAGAGAATGTTTGCAGTATTATTATTACATTTTAGACTGAGATGTGGTGGGTTTTTTTGTTTTTGGGTCTGGTTTTTTGTGTGGGTTTTTTTTTTGTTGTTTGTTTTTTTTTGTTTGTTTGTTTTTTTTTTTGTCTAGAAATTTTCAACTGCAATTTTTTCAGCTGCAAGTATTGGAACCCTTCCTCCCCTTAGCATCCTGGCTATGTAGGTGATAAGTCAATTTGACCTTCTTTGTATTTCTTTCAATCCTGAACAGTATCAAGAAGGATATTTTAATTTCCTCCAGTGCATTCCACCTGGCACTTCTCCTGGGCTGTGATTTATTGCTTATTGTTGTGTCTATATTTAATACATGCCAATATTCAGCCACTATGGGAAGAAGGGCTCCCGCCCCTACAACACTCCCTGCTTACTTTTTTGTTGTGCTCTGATTTCGTGACTGGCCTCCTTGAAAAGCTCTGGTTTCAGCAGCTTTTATAATGTAATTGTTTTGGTGGGGCGGCTCTGGAAGCTCTGAGGTGATGGAGAGAATTTGTGCCTCCCAGGCAGGAATACCACATTGTTTGTTGTAGGCTCTGCCTTCTCTTATCAGGAAACTTTTCAGCCTTTTAGACCCTGGGGGCTGATGTGGGTTTATGATTGCTGATACAGAGCTGTTGCCTTCAATCTGCCTTCCTCCTCCTCCTCCTCCTCCCTGGAACAGGCAACTGTATCGAGAGAAAATGGACCCTAGCATTGATCCCGGCCAGTGATCTTTGCTGCTCTGCTGCTTTAAAACCTCGGGGCTTGCTATCGAGGCTCAGAATTGGGGCAGAGGAAAAACAGCAGCAAACGGAAGAGATGGAAAGGGATAAGGATTTCTGCCATCTCCTTTACTGTTTGTTTATTGACACGGCACCAATTTAATCTCTTAAATGGTGACCAGTAACTCAGCCACATGTCTTGATGTGGTGGTGGGTGTCTGAGCAGTGTTTTGTGCGTGCCCACTGACCCATCTCAGTCTGTCTTTTCAGAACAGCCACTCTTAGCAACAGGGCAAGGGGAAGACATCTGTAATGTCAGCTGCCCAAATTTACAGGCTGGACTTGGCTGCAGGGACCTTCCCTTGTGCCTGTGTGTTCCTGGTGTTTGTCTTTCCTGCTCTCTTGAGTGCTGCCGTTCCCAACTCACTGGAGACTCTTAGGAAGATGTCCAACATGAGCAAAACGTACAAGCACTTGTATATGCAGAATGTTTTGAAGGTTGATTTGCTGGGTGGTAGTTTGGCTGTGCTTGCTGTTGAATTTTGCATGGCTTTGAATCTTTGTAATTTCCCTGCAATTTTCAAATGAGCTTCAATTTTTTTTACTTCAAGTTGCCCCCAAGCTTTGGTGAGGAATATTTGAAGAACCAGTACTGCAACCTTATCACTGACACCACTATATCTTTAGAATGTGCCTGAACAAAATCCCAAATCTGAATTTCAGAGCTGAGGACCTCAGATCTGCAGCAGTTTTTTCAGGTGGGATGTATCTGTAAGGCATAGTTTAGTAATTTTTTCAAAGGCTGAGGTGCAGTTATGCATTTTTAGAATTGCAATCAAACAGGAAAATGAAGCTGGTTGTTACAAGGAGTAGTTTATGATCTTTCTGTTGACTCTTTGCACCATCAGAACCATGGGCCTCTGAGCACACGGAAACCTTGAGGTGGGCCAAGGATTTTGATTGCACATTTAAATGAGGAAAAGAAAATGTTTGGAAATAAGACCAGACAGTCTCTTGAATACCCACCCCTTCTCCTCTCCCTGTCCTGAACAGTTTATTTTAATGCACTTTATTTTGATATTTATTCCTTCTTCTTTCTCCTTCCGTAATTTTTTTCTGCATAAAGCTTGCAGTTAACATGATGCAGGTTGCAGTCTTGGATGTACAGTGTGGTTCTGGGGATAGTTTGGCTTGCCTGTGCTCTCCCTGCCATGCTGTGGGCATGTCCCAGGTTGTGTCAGTGCCACCTCAGGTTACCTTCATGCCAGTGTGGAACCTCCTGCTTCCAGAGCCAGGTCCTATTGCATGCAGCTATGACATGCTCTTACCTGAACCCTTGCCTGCTTTTTGACCTGATTGCAGGAATTTGCTCTTGAGTGATGATGAGGTTTTGCCCTCTTACTTGGCCTAAATTCTTCTGAACATCCCCTCCAGCTATGGTACTTAATGCAAAGCTGGCAGAAATGACTCAGCTGACAAGGACTCTTATTTGCTGACATGATATCTGTGAGAGAAGCATGGCACACCTCTAAATAGCTCTGGGCCAGTAATCAGACAAACTAAGTACATATAGGTGAGTAACTCCTGAAATGGCTCCAGGGAGTTTTTGGAAGAAAAGGGTCAGCAGCTACACTAAAGAAGCAGAGAGTTTTCTGCCCTCTGACTCTCTCGAAAGTGGAACTGTAGCTCCAAGCACAATCACTGTACCACTTCCACCTTTGAGGGGTTTGAGATATCACATGGAGGATTGCTTTGGAGTTTAATGTTATGGTTTTTTTGGTTTTTTGTTGTTTTTTTTTTTTTTAAGCCTTATATGATGCAAAATCCTCTGTAACAAAGGAGTGAAGCACTTAAATGTAGGATTCTAAAACCTGAATTACAGGATTACCATATTTCAGGACTAAAGCTATTGGGGAATTTGTTTGGAGAAATAATATAGTCTGGGAAGAGGAATAAAAATTTTCCTGTTTGGGGGAAGGATTTAATTGAATACAGGCTGGAAATCCTCTGATTTCTTCATCTGAATGATGATAGTTCCTTGAAGGACAAACAATGAACTATTGTTGCGTAACAAGAAAAATGTTTAAAAAGGTAGGGGAGAGAACAACAGGGACACTTGTTCAGTGGAGCCCAGCATCCAGCAGATCGCTGAGGTGACACTGACAGCCAGATTGTTCATCAAAGTTCTTGAAAATCCAACACCTTTTTCTTAGCTAAAGCTGTTGAAAATCTGGCCCAGATTTTGTTTTGAAGATCTTCTGCCTGAGAGTATAAAAAAATATTCAGCACATTGAATATCCATTTAAAAATAGAGGCAAAAGGAAAGGTAACAGACTATAAAAATGTTGTGATAAAGCTTAATCATTAATTTCCATCTGTTCTGGCTGATATGG